CACCCCCTGCGCTGGCCCTATAGTTCCGGGAGGGTGCCACGCCTGCTAAGCTTTGCGACAGTGTCGTCGGTGGGGCCGCGCTCAGAGACCCCCGGTGGTGTCGAGAAAGTGCCACGGCTGCAAAGCTTTGCGCCAGTCGTGGGTAGCGGCCGAGCTGAGAGACCACCCCCTGCCCACCCCCTTTGGTGTCGAGAAAGTGCCACGCCTGCTAGGCTTTGCGCCAGTGTCGTGGATGGCGGCCGAGCTGAGAGACCACCCCCTGCGCGCCCCCTGTGGTGGCGAGAAAGTGCCACGCCTGCTAGGCTTTGCGCCAGTGTCGTGGATAGCGGCCGAGCTGAGAGACCACCCCCTGCGCACCCCCTGTGGTGTCGAGAAAGTGCCACGCCTTGCTAGGCTTTGCGCCAGTGTCGTGGATAGCGACCGAGCTGAGAGACCACCCCCTGCGCACCCCCTGTGGTGTCGAGAAAGTGCCACGCTTGCTAGGTTTGCGCCAGTGTCGTGGATAGCGGCCGAGCTGAGAGACCACCCCCTGCGCACCCCGTGTGGTGTCGAGAAAGTGCCACGCCTGCTAGGCTTTGCGCCAGTGTCGTGGATAGCGGCCGAGCTGAGAGACCACCCCCTGCGCACCCCCTGTGGTGTCGAGAAAGTGCCACGCCTGCTAGGCTTTGCGCCAGTGTCGTGGATAGCGGCCGAGCTGAGAGACCACCCCCTGCCCACCCTGTGGCTCGAGAAAGTGCCAAGCTAGGCTTTCGCCAGTGTCGTGGATAGCGGCCGAGCTGAGAGACCACCCCCTGCGCACCCCCTGTGGTGTCGAGAAAGTGCCACGCCTGCTAGGCTTTGCGCCAGTGTCGTGGATAGCGGCCGAGCTGAGAGACCACCCCCTGCCGCACCCCCTGTGGTGTCGAGAAAGTGCCACGCTGCTAGGCTTTGCGCCAGTGTCGTGGATAGCGGCCGAGCTGAGAGACCACCCCCTGCGCACCCCCTGTGGTGTCGAGAAAGTGCCACGCCTGCTAGGCTTTGCGCCAGTGTCGTGGATAGCGGCCGAGCTGAGAGGACCACCCCCTGCCCACCCCCTGTGGTGTCGAGAAAGTGCCGCGCCTGCTAGGCTTTGCGCCAGTGTCGTGGATAGCGGCCGAGCTGAGAGACCACCCCCTGCCCACCCCCTGTGGTGTCGAGGAAAGTGCCTAGTCCTGCTAGGCTTTGCGGACAGTGTCGTGGATAGCGGCCGAGCTGAGAGACCACCCCCTGCGCACCCCGTGTGGTGTCGAGAAAGTGCCACGCCTGCTAGGCTTTGCGCCAGTGTCGTGGATAGCGGCCGAGCTGAGAGTCCACCCCCTGCGCACCCCCTGTGGTGTCGAGAAAGTGCCACGCCTGCTAGCCTTTGCGCCAGTGTCGTGGATAGTGGCCGAGCTGGGAGACCACCCCCTGCGCACCCCCTGTGGTGTCGAGAGAGTGCCACGCCTGCTAGGCTTTGCGCCAGTGTCGTGGATAGCGGCCGAGCTGAGAGACCACCCCCTGCCCACCCCCTGTGGTGTCGAGAAAGTGCCGCGCCTGCTAGGCTTTGCGCCAGTGTCGTGGATAGCGGCCGAGCTGAGAGACCACCCCCTGCCCACCCCTGTGGTGTTCGAGAAAGTGCTACGCCTGCTAGGCTTTGCGCCAGTGTCGTGGATAGCGGCCGAGCTGAGAGACCACCTCCTGCCCACCCCCTTTGGTGTCGACAAAGTGCCACGCCTGCTAGGCTTTGCGCCAGTGTCGTGGATAGCGGCCGAGCTGAGAGACCACCCCCTGCGCACCCCCTGTGGTGTCGAGAAAGTGCCACGCCTGCTAGCCTTTGCGCCAGTGTCGTGGATAGCGGCCGAGCTGAGAGACCACCCCCTGCGCACCCCCTGTGGTGTCGAGAAAGTGCCACGCCTGCTAGCCTTTTTGCGCCAGTGTCGTGGATAGCGACCGAGCTGAGAGACCACCCCCTGCGCACCTCGTGTGGTGTCGAGAAAGTGCCACGCCTGCTAGGCTTTGCGCCAGTGTCGTGGATAGCGACCGAGCTGAGAGACCACCCCCTGCGCACCCCCTGTGGTGTCGAGAAAGTGCCACGCTTGCTCTAAGCTTTGCGCCAGTGTCGTGGATAGCGGCCGAGCTGAGAGACCACCCCCTGCGCACCCCCTGTGGTGTCGAGAAAGTGCCACACCTGCTAGGCTTTGCGCCAGTGTCGTGGATAGCGGCCGAGCTGAGAGACCACCCCCTGCGCACCCCCTGTGGTGTCGAGAAAGTGCCACGGCTACAAAGCTTTGCGCCAGTGTCGTGGATAGCGGCCGAGCTGAGAGACCACCCCCTGCGCACCCCCTGTGGTGTCGAGAAAGTGCCACGCCTGCTAGGCTTTGCGACAGTGTCGTGGATTGCGGCCGAGCTGAGAGACCACCCCCTGCGCACCCCCTGTGGTGTCGAGAAAGTGCCACGCCTGCTAGCCTTTGCGCCAGTGTCGTGGATAGCGGCCGAGCTGAGAGACCACCCCCTGCGCACCCCCTTTGGTGTCGAGAAAGTGCCACGCCTGCTAGGCTTTGCGACAGTGTCGTGGATAGCGGCCGAGCTGAGAGACCACCCCCTGCGCACCCCCTGTGGTGTCGAGAAAGTGCCACGCCTGCTAGCCTTTGCGCCAGTGTCGTGGATAGCGGCCGAGCTGAGAGACCACCCCCTGCCCACCCCCTGTGGTGCCGAGGGAGTGCCACGCCTGCTAGGCTTTGCGCCAGTGTCGTGGATAGGGACCGCGGTGAGAGACCACCCCCTGCGCACCCCCTGTGGTGTCGAGAAAGTGCCACGCCTACTAGGCTTTGCGACAGTGTCGTGGATAGCGACCGAGCTGAGAGACCACCCCCTGCGCACCCCCTGTGGTGTCGAGAAAGTGCCACGCTTGCTAGGTTTGCGCCACTGTCGTGGATAGCGGCCGAGCTGAGAGACCACCCCCTGCGCACCCCCTGTGGTGTCGAGAAAGTGCCACGCCTGCTAGGCTTTGCGCCAGTGTCGTGGATAGCGGCCGAACTGAGAGACCACCCCCTGCGCACCCCCTGTGGTGTCGAGAAAGTGCCACGCCTGCTAGGCTTTGCGCCAGTGTCGTGGATAGCGGCCGAGCTGAGAGACCACCCCCTGCCCACCCCCCTTGGTGTCGAGAGAATGCCACGCCTGCTAGGCTTTGCGCCAGTGTCGTGGATAGCGGCCGAGCTGAGAGACCAACCCCAGGGCACCCCCTGTGGTGTCGAGAAAGTGCTACGCTTGCTAGGCTTTGCGCAGTGCCACGAGCTGTGCTGTGCTGTGCTGAGCTGAGCCGTGCTGGGCTGTGCTGAGCTGTGCTGTGTGCTGAGCTGAGCTGAGCTGTGTGCTGTGCTGAGCTGAGCTGTGCTGTGCTGTGATGTGCTGTGCTGAGCTGTGCTGTGCGAAGAGTGAGGTGTGTGTCGCGGGTGCGGCGCGGCAGGGAAGAAAACCAGAACCCCACGAAGCATGTGGGGAAAAACCATACCCCCACGAAGCATGTGGGAAAATAGCCCCCAAACCATTTTTGACTATTTCTGATTATCCCTCCTGTAGAGGGACAGGCCCGACTTCAGTCTAGCAGGGGATACGTCGACCCCGATCCCAGGCTTCGCGGGCTGTCGAGTGGACCAACACTTGTGTGGGCCCAGCCCTGGTGCGTGTGTGTGTGTGTGTGTGTGTGTGTGTGTGTGTGTGTGTGTGTGTGTGTGTGTGTGTACGGCGGGGGGGCGTCCATCCTCGATAGGGGGGGGCGTCCGAATGGCACCCTCGGGGTGCGTCCCAGGGTTTCGCCCTGCTTCTGAGCGGCCGAGTCCATCGGGCGGACCTTGGGGGCTGGGGCGGGGGGAGAAACGCCGCCTGCGTCGGGGATGAAAGCAGCTCGGAGTGCAGACGCTGCTCGGAGAAAGGTGCTGGGAGCCAGCCGGGAGCGACGAAGGCCATCGGCGCCAGCCCCGAAAACGAAAACGGGGGGCAACAACGTCGGGGACCGTAGCACAGCGGAGGCACGACAACGATAATACAACGGCCCTGTGGCTTCCAGGTCCCACGAGGAGGAAGCTGATGACGACGACGGACATGCTGTTGCTGATGATGATGCTGCTGCTGATCATGATCATGATCATGATCATGATCATGATGATGATGATGATGATGCTGATGATGATGATGATGATGATGATGATGATGATGATGGTGATGGTGATGATGACGATGATGATGATGATGAAGATGATGATGATGCTGATGATGATGATGATGATGATGATGATGATGATAATGATGCTGCTGATGATGATGACGATGATTATGATGAGGGGGCAATGGAGGATGGAGGAGGGAGGTGGAAGAGAAGCGAGGAGGGAGGCAAAAGAGATAATGATAGTGGAGGAGAAGGCTCCCCATTATCCACATCGTCCGTGTTTCCTCCGTCCGCTCCGCGCAGCCAGCACGACCCAACCCTTCTTGCGAGCCGCTGGCAAAATCTGGCCAAAACGAATGGCTCCGATTTTCGCCTGTCCGTGCTTCCCATCAGAGGCCTCCTGGATGGGGTCTGTGCAGATGGGTCGACAGATCGCGCCGCGTCGCCGATGCACCACCGACGTCGGCGTGGAACAAAAATCGGGATCCACATCGAGCCGCATCGCGGCGCGCTCCTCCGACCCCATCTGCCCTGACCCCATCTGGGAGGCCTAGACCCGTGCTCCTCGTCCGAACCCTTCCAGACAAGGGTGCCGAATATTGTCCTCGACCCTCGAAGGTCGAGGGGGGCACTTTCGGGCGTGCCTGGCCCGTGTCGGGCCTCCGGAAAGCATCCCGG